CATGGGGAGGTGTCATTCAGGATTAACTGTAGGGTGAAAAATGAATTGGTAAGAAGCCTGTGGTTAGAACTCAACAGTCTCAAGGGCCAGTGAATGAAAGGATGAAAGAAAAAGTCCAGCAGAATCAGCTGTAGACTTAAATATTAAGCACATGCCCTCCCTTATCACACTTCTTAAGAAAGGAATGCCCAAACAAGTTTATCTCAGAATCAAGCTTAGATTGGGTTAGATTCCATGGGCTTTCAGACTGGTGAGGCAGTATGGTGTAGACAGCATAGAAAGATTACTGGATTTAGAATCAGAAGGTCTGGTTGTAAGTCCCATTTATATTAAACCATATAGTAGTCCTTTGACAATGGGTACACTTAGATTCTCTTCATGTCACCATCCTCATCTGTCAAGTGATGTTAATAATATTTATAATGCCTACTTCACAGAACTGTTATGAGAAAAACCCTTTGTAAACCGTAAAGTGTCATGGCAATTGTGAATTTTTATCACTGAGGTTTGAAGAAAGGTATCAAAAGTAGTTTTTAAGCCCACTGAAGTCTGTCTGGAGATAGCTTTGGATATTGATTACAGGAAAATGGAGCTTTTCCTATTAAAAAAAACTTCTCTGCTTTATAGAGGGCTACGTATGATTTGACTTTGAAAGTTGCCAAGTTCCTATGCCATAAACTTTTAAAGTAACTTGAAAAATCTACTTTCCCCCCACAGAAAAGCTGGTTAAAAATTTGTGGCACAATTACTTTAGAGTCACTGTTATTGCATGGGTCAGGGTCATTTATCTTAGGAAATATTTTATATCTCTATCCTCAGAATCCTCTTAGGGCTGTGCATCACTTTGACCCAGTGATACCACTACCAGGAGTAGACCCTAAAGGGATACAAGAAAGAGGGAAAAATCCCATACGGACAAAACATATTTACAGCAGTATTTTTAACAAAATGTAAAAACAAAAGAAGTGTTCATTAGCTGGGGAATGGCTAAACAAATAGTGGGATAGGCATGTAATGGAATATAATTGTGCCAATGATACAAAAATTCAGAAAAATCAAATTTTTATGAACTGATGTGGAATGAAATGATTAGGACCAGGAGATCAGTTTACATGATGACCATATGTTAATACTATAACTGAAAAAAAAACTTACAAACAAATGGTGAAAGACTTAGGGACTCAGATCAATACAATGCCCAATCATGGCTCTGGATGACTGATGATGAATCATTCTTTCCATTTCTTGGCAGAGCAATGATCGACTAAAGGTTCAGAATGAAACAAATGTGTGGATTGGTTTTGTTTGAGTATACTTATTGTGATAAAAGAGGACTTTCTGTAGTGGTAGAGAAATTTTGGGAGGAAATGGGGAAGAATCATAGAGTGATTTTTCTTAAAAAAGAGAAAGGAGTGTTGATGAAAACATTCAAAAATATACGGAAGGGATCAAGAAGTTCAGAAGGAGTCACTGTTGGAACTATATAAAAATGTAGTATATACTTAAAAAAAACAAACTGTATATAATAGTCATGGTTTTATCCCATAGTTCTGTTCTTTGTGTAAGGAAATATTTATGTTGCTGTTGTTAATATCATCATCATCATCATCATCATCATCATCATCATCATCGTTATCATCATCAACCTTTTAGGATATCTAGTTTCTAGACGGTCACCTTATATTCATCAGCTGCTCTAGACTTTCTATTCTTATTTTATTGCCTAGGAGAATTACTCTCACCCAAAGTTGGAGAGAAATAATTGGAAGCCAATTTACTATCCTCTGGATCCATAAATACAAGTTTTTCTTCACGGAGGGAAGTCTTGTATTTGCCTTTCATTTCCAAAGATGGAATGAAAAATTGAAAACCAGAGACCACTATGTGACATGTATTGCTTCTAAATGACTGGAAGGAACTAATACTAGACAGAAGATGCCATCTCACAAATCATTTGTAAGGCTCTGGTTAAAGTAAAATTTTTTTAAAAGCTCACTATTGGTCAACCTTTTTACTATTATCTATTCTCTGTATATTTTCTACTTTTTTTATCCACCCCTATTTCTTTTTAGGAGGGAATGGGAGATATATATGAATTTGTGCATTCTAAATGTAGCATCATGGGTTAAGAATCTGCCATAGTATCTACAAGGTAGAATAAAAAATAACTTTTACCCTCTTAAAAATTATTGAAGACTTCCCTCCACCCCAAGAGCTTTTGTTTATGTTGGCTATCTATCTATCTATCTATCTATCTATCTATCTATCTATCTATCTATCTATCT